AACCAATTAGACAAAAGGGTCATACATACACATCTCAATATAATATTAAATAACGTTCTCGAGCCAACGCGAAATTAGCACTATATGTCGAAAAATGATAAATAAGATATAATAAGAATTATACATATACCAAAATATGATTCCTTCGTTAATCATTTTAAATAAAAATCATATAATTTTAATTACATTTTCTTTTTTAAAATTATTGTTTTTAAATTACTATATATTATATTTCATTTGTTTTAGTTATATTATTTATATAATCTTAATATTTATTTATAATATATATATCAAATTCATTCCAAGGTGAAAAATTGCAAGTCTGCTCTGGTGCATCTGGCCAAATGCTTCCTGCATTGATAACAATGGCTAGCAAAGCCTGGGAGACAGAAGCGACAAAACCGGCCATTTTCCCAAGCTCTAGGAAAGCCAATTTATCCAGATGGCAAGCTGCCCACAATATACCATATATATATATTATGAGTTCAATAAAATATACTTTCTTAATGTTATTATAATTCAATTTATTAAAATTAAACAATATAAATTAAATACATATAATAATTAATACTGAAATTATCAAAAAATATTAATAAAACAAATCAATAATCCAAACATATCTCATATATGACAAATATATCGACTATCTAAAATTATTTATTCCGGAAACCGGCATCTTCACGAGAAAAAAACAAAAAATGATTCGCAGAATTATTTTCAACACATTCATTACAAATATAACATACAAAATACACTTTTATAGCCCCAACTCGAAAATCGTTACTCTTCAATACGAAAATAATATTAAAAATACATTTCCATAATTCAGCTTGAATACGAAAACAATACACAAACTCATCTTCCTCAGCCTCGAAAATCTAAATTTTGCAATACGAAAATAATACACAAAATGAATTTCCGTAGTCCCAGCTCGAAAATCACAACCTTTCAATTCCAAAATAGCACGCGCTCACAACCCGTGAGCTACGCACGAAAAGAGCCGTTAGCCTCATATCCGTCGATTCCCATTTGCGAAAAATCCGACTAAAAATTATGATCAACATTTCCAAAAAATATCTAATAGTTAGGAAGTATTGTTGTAACGATTTATTTTTATAACGATATTCAGATTACAAATTATTCGACCAATTTTGATATATATATATATTCTATATACATTACCGGTAATCACAAATAATTCATCACTCCAATTTGCCTTAACAAGCCATACAAAATGTTCGAATTCAAAATATAATAATCTTCGTTAAATTTTCATGAATATCAACGCTAAGAACAAAATAATTTCCCCTTCATAATTCAATCTAAAACCTTTCGAATAATTTTCATACAATAATCAAACAATATATATAATATTAAAAATAATATTTTAATATTAATTATTTGTTTAATATCGAATAATAATATTTGTTTCCATGTTTTTTTAATATAAAAGAAAATCAATCATTATAATAATTATATTACATAAATTATAATTCAATAAATATATAATATAAATACATATATACATTAAAAATATTTTATATTTTTTAAATATATTCTTAAATTAAATTAGTTCAATATAAATACATATAAATTTAGAAAATTAAATTGGTCCGTTGCTTTCCAGCAGTGCGAAATAAAACACATAACAAAAGAATAACAGAATCAGAATATGAAATCAGAAATCATTCCAATTTTATAATTATAAATACATATTCATAATCATATTCATAAAGCCAAAAACAAGCAAACCAAACAAATTCTTAACAAAACATAATTTCGGATTATTTCGAGAAAAAAAAATAGACCCTATCCAAATAAAATATGTCGAAAAATTATATAATGCATTAAAATAATAATAACATATCTAAATAATTTATTTTTCTAATCTCGCAAAAAAATATTTCATAAATATAGTCGTTCCACAACAAACCATACCAATACGAATTTGATCAATCCAAAAAATCATATACTCGAATTTCTTAAATTAAACCGGCTTCACCATCTCAATATTAATCATTTAAATACCTATTCATAACATCCTTTATTAAAACTAAACCAAAAAAACCTTCGAAAACAAACAATAAAAATCGATTTCAATTTTAAAACAATCCTCTCCTTTAAAAGAATATTTCTTAAATCTTTCAAGCCAATATAATATATCCAAAAATCAAATTTCATATTCCAATAATACAAATCAATTTTTTCGAAATATCCGAGAATTTTCGAAAAACAATAATTCGGCAAAACGCGCACAAGTGCGACGAGCAAATTTCACGGTTTCATTTTATAGAGTAAATATAAATCAATAATACAACATTATTATTAAATTATTACATTAAAATTCAATTCCAATATAATTATTTATAAAAATATTTTTTTTTAAAATAACCCTGACAAAAATATAAAAAAAATTAAACAAAACATAAATAAAAAAATATATGTAAAAAACCTATATATCACAAAAATAATAAACACCAAACTATAACAATCAACAATAAAATATACATAAACGAAAAACAACACACATATTTCAAAATACAAATACTTACAACAACAAACATAGAAACACAAACAAACAAGATCAACCAAGACAAAACAAGACAAACACAAACAAATACAATCAAACACAAACACATTCAAATAGACAGAAACAAACACAAACAAACACAAACAAACAAATAAACACAGAGACAGACAAACAGACAAACGCAGAAACAAACATACAAACATAAACAAACAAACAAACATGACAAATAAATAGATAGAGACAAATAGACAAACAAACAGACAGATAGAGACAGACAATCAAACACAAACAGACAAACACAGACAGACAGACACAGAAGGACAGACACAAACAGACACAACACAGACAACACACAGACACAGACAAGACAGACAGAGACAGACAGAGACAGACAGAGACAGACAGAGACAGACAGAGACAGACAGAGACAGACAGAGACAGACAGAGACAGACAGAGACAGACAGAGACAGACAGAGACAGACAGAAACAGAAACAGAGAGACAGAGAGACGGAAAGACAGAGCAACAGAGAGAGAGAGAGAGAGAAAGAAAGAAAGAAAGAAAGAAAGAAAGAAAGAAAGAAAGAAAGAAAGAAAGAAAGAAATACAGAAAGAAAAAAAGCTAGAAAGAAAAATGCAAAAAGAGAAAGAAAGAGAGAAAGAAAGAGAGAGAGAAAGAAAGAAAGAAAGAAAGAAAGAAAGAAAGAAAGAAAGAAAGAAAGAAAGAAAGAAAGACAGAACGAAAGAACGAAAGAACGAATGAATGAAAGAAATAAAGAAAGAAAGAAAGAAAGACAAAAGTCAATATGGAAAGACCGACAAAAAGAAATAAAGAACGAAATAAAGAACACAAAATATATAATAAAAAAACAAGATAAATAAAGAAACTGGAAAAATATAACAAGGGAGAAAGAGAGCCAGAAAGAAACAAGAAAGAGAGAAATAAAGAGAGAAATAAAGAGAGAAATAAAGAGAGAAATAAAGAGAGAAATAAAGAGAGAAATAAAGAAATAAAGATAGAAATAAGAACATAAATAAAGAAGGAAAGAAGGAAAGAAAGACAGACAGAAAGAAAGAAGAGAGAAAGAGAGAAAGAGAGAAAGAGGGAAAGAGGGAAAGAGGGAAAGAGAGAAAGAGGGAATGAGGGAATGAGGGAATGATGGAAAGAGGGAAACAGGGAAAGAGGGAGGGAAAGAGGGAAACAGGGAAACAGAGAAAGAGGGAAAGAGGGAAAGAGGGAATGAGGGAAAGAGGGACAGAGGGAATGAGGGAAAGAGGGAAAGAGGGAAAGAGGGAAAGAGGGAAAGAGGGAAAGAGGGAGGGAAAGAGGGAAAGAGGGAAAGAGGGAAAGAGGGAAAAAGGGAAAGAGGGACAGAGGGAAAGAGGGAAAGAGGGACAGAGGGAAAGAGGGAAAGAGGGAAAGAGGGACAGAGGGACAGAGGGACAGAGGGAAAGAGGGACAGAGGGACAGAAGGAACGCACAAAATTGTCGAGAAATTTCGATCCGGACAGGTCCCAAATTTTCCCGGAAATTTGACCCGGCATTTTTCTGAAAGTCGCAAAAATCTGAAGAAACAAAATGGGGTATCGTCTGGAGTTCGGAAAGCCGGGTCACTGGAAGCGACCCAAAATTCGGGGGGAAAATTTGGCCAGGTTACGCGGCGGGAACTCCAAGCGAAGATCTAATGAACCCCCCAAAATTTCGGCAAAGTTTCGGGGACTTCCGGGCCGCGAAAGAGGCTGGAGCTCGCGCCGCGATGAGAAGACTGGGACGGGCATAGCCGCTTGTCGTAAGCACGACGATTCGGCCGGAGTACCGCTGCAGCGGCTTTGCGTTGCACGAGAAATGCGACCTCGAGGCCGCACCGATTTATGAGAACAATTTATTATATCAAATATGAATAATATATATTTACTCATTAAATATCACATGTTTTCATTAAATTGATATAAAGCAAATCTAAACTCAAAACTACAAAACAACTTCCTACAATTCCCTAAGAACCCTCGCATTATTTACATCACAATTTCTAAATACACCTTAATGTGCAACCCAACTAAACATACAATCCACTCAGAATAGATCTAATTCATTATCCCAAGAATACACTACCAGCACAAATCAACATACTCCATACACCCTTTCACAAACTTCCACAACACAACATATATACTTGTCATACCTTGATATATGGAATACAGCAGCAAACACAAATGACCAAACTTATTTTATATTGCAATGATTAAGCTTATACATCAAACATAAATCTCAATAAAAATCGCTATGGTAACTAATATAAACAAATAGTAAAACTATTCGCTCTTTTTTGCTAAATCAATCCGAATTCCACTACAACCAAAAATGGAATAGGGATTGAAACAATCAACAACCACAATTTACTACACCTTTTCTATCATGAGTATTATTCATTTTTATGTTCATTTGTTAATGTTCGTTGCAGGCACCATTTTCAGGCAGTAACTAGGAACCTGGGCAGATAGGTCACATTTAAACCCCCTGCTTTTGGTGATATAGTGCGACGCGCACACACAACATGAAAGCATGGCAAGAAAACACACGCACCATTGTCCAATAGGGATGGGCAGCTATTGATTCCGCCCTTTGGCTTTGTTGAATTGTGGCTCCATCCAAACGGGGAGGGGGAATTGTCTGGGAGTAAACTGTTGCAATTCACCAACTTCAAACAAGGGATCTCCATGAAGGAAACCATCAATGATAGGTGACATTGCACACCCCCCTTCTGACATAGCCAGGTTGATTTCAAATTTAATTTAAGGAATGATTGGGCTCCAAGCACGCCAGGGCGCGGTTGTCCAGGAAGAACACCTTCCGGCACTTGCACTTGCACCAATCGGCCATCTGCAAGAGGAACTTTAACCAGCGTTCCTGCAGGGTTCTTTCAGTAATGCTTCCCCAACAGCGTAGCGTTTGTCGAGAAAGTCAAGGGGTCATTGTGTTGATCGAATCGATTCCCCCCCTGAAGCACGTTCCGGTTCCTGGCGCCGAGCCATCCGGGCACGTCACCGTCACCTGCGTCTGGGGGATGGGCTGGGCAACTGCCACCGCCTGGATTGGTGCCGCTGCGGGCATGGCGACTGCTGGTGTCGCAGCATAGGCGGGAACTCCAGCCTCAACTTGGGTCCCATATCCGTTTTCTGCCTTGCTGGCCTCATCCATAAGCTTCTCACCGCCTGCCTTGGACTTGGCAGAGCGGAAGACGGCCCCGGCGCCGCACATTAGGAGGCAAACCAGCCCCAGTGCTGCTGCGGCCCAAAGCGGCCTTGCCATAAGCCAGGCCACGGCAATCACCAGCGCAGAGCATGCCGCTGCCACGAAAAAGTTCATGAAGCAAAGCATGCAGCCCACAATATCACTAATCATGGGACCAATGCAGGGGATCAAGTTAGGCATTGTGGCCAGTAGGTCGGTGATGAAGTATAGGGCAAGCCAAACCAAGAGGAACCCCACGATGCGAATACCCATTGTGCTGCTCTCATTCTCGGACATCTTGGCCAAAATGATCTCGTCAAAACTCACGCTGCCTGCCCTCAACCAATTGATCTTTGACCCTTTCATGGAGCCCGCCACCAAGTGTCCGTCCTCATCTTGCATTGCAACAATGGATAGGCTGCCCGGACGCAAAGATTTCTTCAAGGTCGCCCTTACGTCCCCAACCGTATTCACGCCTTTCTTGAGCTCAAGTAGCAGCATTGAACCATCTCCTGTGCGCCAATCTGGACCCTTGCTGGACATCAGAAATCCGTGCGCCCAGCGACAAGAATACGTGTTGTTCCAGGAAACTTATTGGAAGTTTGGGCGGGACCCCCATGTAGACCAAACATACCGCAGTTGCTCACATGGGAATTTATAAAATCCCCATGCTGGACTAGACGATGTTCCAAGAATTAAACAAAGCGCCGCTGGCATCCCCAGCAAATCCCTGGAACCCTTCTGACACCCGGTAGAGACACCAAAACCTTCAAGTGTGGAATCAACACCTGAAACTTTCCCAACCAGAAATATGGCCTTGCGCACTTTTGACTCGTGCGGGTTTTGGGGACAGAACAGTTCCAGTTTTCTGGCAGTTTACTTTTAGTTTGGGGCGGAGGAGGGGGGCGCCCAAATTTCCCCCACTCCACACGTGACGCCCGCGGCCTGAAGCTGTCCTGCCCTGATAGTGATACTGCGAGAGTTTGGAGTCGTCCTGCAGGATTGAAGCCTCTTCTCGTCAACTTTGGGCGCTAGGATTGCTATGGATACCTTTTTCCGGATGCAATGGGTGTATCTTAATATGGGGGACACCCCGAAATGGTGGCTTTTCATTTGGTTTCCTTTTAACTCCAGAAAGAAAAGGGCACCCGCAAAAAAAACATGCCCAAATCGAGTCTTCAACGGTTTAAGACCTTCTGTGAAACTTCTTCAGAAGACACGCCTGGAGTCTGAAGTTCACGCTTTCGTGAAGCTCTTGGATCAACTGCCTCGTGCGTCTTTTTAAGAGTTGGCACCCCGTTTGGGGTTGTTTAGGGGAAGCTGAAGGAAACAACCCCTAGCAAGGGGTTCCCAAATTTGGAGAACCCAACGCTCCAACCAGTCACGAGGTCATGGGTCACAATGACCCCCTGTCCTAATGATGGGTGGAGCTCAAATGTGCGAACCCTTCATTTGGCGTCTTGTTGGGCCCCCTTAAAATCCACCATCCGTAGTCTCCCTTACAGCACCCATCATTCTACCTGGCGCGCCCAAACGCCCGTTGACTTGGATAGAGTTCCATGGCAACAGAGTTCAATTCAATCAACAACATTTGAGAAATATGATCTTTGCCACCGAACAGCATCATACAGTCGCGCACCCCGGCGCACTAGCAGTAGGCAGACGTTAGACAAGCCACTAACATGGTCTTCTGGCTGCCGAGGAGGGGCTTTACCCAACAACTTTCTGTACAATCCTGGCATACAAATATCCCAAACAACACAATAGTGCAATAGACGCCAAGGAACGAGTTCAGGCCATATGACTGTGACTTGCTTGCACCCACTGTCACCGCGTTTGCGGGAGCGTAGACCGTTCCGATCCTCAACGCTGGAGGAATTGAGCCGGAGTTATGTACCTTGCAGGGATTCGTGTTGGCAGCCTGATCAATGCAATGAAGCAAAACCCCATTGAAACAACGAACAAACAAACATGCAAACACAAAACAAAGCCAACCCAAATATACTCATTCATGCAAAGTGAGCGATACATTATTGATGAGATAACACAACCAGCATAAAGACAAAACATCAATTAATAAATCAATCCAAACAAAGAAGTTAAGAAAGCACTGAAACAAAGAAACAAACAATTCAAGAAACACTGAACCAAGAAAGGAAGGAACGCAATATTGACAACACACCACACCACACCACAACACAAAACAAACCAACACACCAACCAGGGAGCCAAACAAACGAACAAACACACACACACAAACAAACAAACAAACAAACAAACAAACAAACAAACAAACAAACAAACAAACAAACAAACAAACAAACAAACAACCCAACAAGCACAAACATACAGACGCACACAAGCACACAAGCAAGCAAGCAAGCAATCAACCAAAGAAAAACAATTCATCAAACAAGCAAGCAAGCAAACAAACAAACAAACATACATACAAAGACACACACACACACGCAAATATCACAAACAAACAAACATACCAACAACACCAGCAAACCAGCAAACCAACAAACCAGCAAAGAAGCAAGCAAGCAAGCAAGCAAGCAAGCAAGCAAGCAAGCAAGCAAGCAAGCAAGCAAGCAAGAAAGCAAGCAAGCAAGCAAGCAAGCAAGCAAGCAAGCAAGCAAGCAAGCAAGCAAGCAAGCAAGCCTTAAGCAAGCCTTAAGTAAGCCTTAAGCAAGCCTTAAGTAAGCCTTAAGTAAGCCTTAAATAAGCCTTAAGTAAGCCTTAAGTAAGCCTTAAGTAAGCAAGCAAGCAAGAAGCAAAGACACAAAGACACAAACAACAAATAAATAGACTACAAACAACAAACTAGTAATACGCCAGCAAGCAAGCGTGCGAGGAAGTGAGCCAGCGTGCAAACAGACCAAACAGACGGACAGACAGGCAAACAAATAGGCAAACAAATAGGCAAACAAACAAACAAACAAACAAACAAACAAACAAACAACCCAGACAGACAAACAAAGAAACAAACGACCACTACAGAATATGGCGGCCAGCAAGCCAGGTAGGGGGATAGGGCGCATCTGGAGCATAAACAAATCAAGCAACAAATCTCCCGCCTCTGTCACTCTTCTGTCAGGGAAGTGACACTCTGTCTGAGTGCTTGATTGGCAATGAAAGGTGCTGTGGTCTACGACATCATGTGTCCATTTCTTGGTGAAGGTATACCTAGGTGGGCAAGCTGAACCAGGCATGGACTGGATTCATTCACAAAATCAATCTCAGGCCATTGTGTTCGGGCCCTAGCCCCTTCAGGTATCCTCCAATTTTGCAAGCGCTTGCATGAAGGATCGCCAGAGTGCCACTTCGTAATAGTCTTCCCTCCTCCGATTGCATTCTTTTCCGACTTGGAATGCTCCTCTTCGACATTCTGGTAAATCTCCGCCTGCCAAAGGATGCCTACCGACTTTGGGCCACAAGCTGAGTTGGGGGTCGAACAGCGTGCAAAGGCTTGAAGGTTTGAAGGTCGGCAAGCATCAGGTGGATGCACGTCTGGTTGCAACCAATGACCCGTTTGGTATGGGCTCCATTTGTGGAAGTTCTGAGCAGCTTGCAATTGCCGCAAAGGACAGCCGTCGTTGCCTTCACCGAAATCCACATGGCGGTCATGTTGTCGTCAACAAACGGCTGCAGCTGCTGAAGGGAGGGCCCGAAATCATACATGCTGGCCACTGGGCAGGACACATACACGATTGCACCTTGGGCTGGGCAAAGCAAGGCATATGTCAGAAGTCTTCTGTGATACCAAATTTAGCCATTATGACTACTTTGGACATTGCTTGGTATTACAGAAGTGGGGACCTGATTTGCAAAACCATCACCTTATGGTAAGACTTTGCAATCTGAACCATGCTTTCGTCTCGATTCTTCGGACCCCGCCTTTGTGCTTGGGGTCTGGCGTGCAGCTAGCGCGAACAGCTTTGTCTTCCACTTCCAGCAGGAGCTTTTGGTTGCGAACAAAGTTGAACCTGTTTCGGTGGCCAAGCCGATCTAGCAACCAGGCAGAAAAGAAACCAAACCATCGCAAGTAACGAAAAACAAACAATATGTATATATATATATACATACACACCTCTAGACAAGGAGCTCGTTCCATCCCAGCAGAAAGATGCTGGCGAAGAATAATACGAGGCCGCAGCAGGAGCAACACAAAGAGGCGCGGATTGTCTGGCCGAAGCTCTCGTGCAGCGTCTCTACCCCGTCCTCCTCCTGTCGGAACTTTGGCATAAAATGTCGGAAAGTTCGGCATAAAATGGGGACACACACACACACAAAAGAGAAGAAGAGACGCAGGCTTGCCAGCGTTTGAACACCAAAACAAAAGGGAACGGCGCTACAGATTTCAGATACCCAAAAAGTGGGGCTCGCAAAAGGAGACTCCGACTAATCGAAAACCGCTCAATTCCATTTTTATGTGTCATTCTCTATTTTTTTTGTGCTGGGGGGGGTTTAATGCCAATCAGCCGGGCACCTCCTCAATGCATAAAAGATCGGGCTCTCCATACAGTATTTCCCTTGCGCCGGCAAAGGACAAAGGTATGCGGAGTGGTTCTTTGTGGGTACGCCCTTTAGCAAAAGGGATGGAGATCTCACGCTAGGCTCCATTTCTGTTGGCTCAGGACAGCCCGATCCTGTGCAAAGGGCCACATATGGAAACAGCCACGGAGTGGCCGAAAGACCTGGAACGTGATAGAACACACTTGAGCCAAAGGCAGATACCTCTGAGAGTCGCAGAAGCAGATTTTCATTCGTCCTTCCGCTGCCCGTGCAAATGACCTGGGCCGAAAACCCATTCACAGGTACCCATTAAATTAACCATTCGGGGCCATCAAAGTCCACGCCTGCATTTCTCAACCGCTGTGGGGAAACACTCAGGGGGCGTGTTGCCATTGACTTTGGCCAGCGTAAACTTCGTTGCGCCTAATCTTCCCCAAGGCTCATAGCCACAAAGTGCATTCACAAACGCGTCGAAGGATGATCTCCCAACCTATGCATAGCAGCGCCATGGGTGTGCTGATTCCCTTACTCGGAACCCTCACAGTTGCCTAAACCCCAGGGTCCATGATCCCTGCGCCCAAGTAAAGGCATTTTGCAGGAGCTTGGGGCTTGGAGCTCCTTCTTTCCAGCCCAAGAGCTGCACTGTGTGCAAGTCAAGAGATTGGAGCGGGGGCAAAGTGGCGGAAGAAACCTTGAGGCAAGCCTTTGCCAAACGGTCTCACGGACCACACAGCTTTCAGGAAGCTGGTCGGTGACATTAATGACTGTTGACGGGAGTAATATTACCGTAATCTGGTCTGATCCGGGATTGCTCATTGACTTGACTTGAGGTTAGCCGCTCTGCTTCACACCTCTTTTGCTGCTGGTATCCTCGACACATGCCTCGTGCTTGGCTTGATCTCTACAGAATCACACTTCCTCATCCGTCCTCCGATACAGCGCGATGAGATGAATTATGCACCTCTCATTATGCTGAAGATGCGCCCGACCGTTCCTCTTGCGGTCGAAAACGCACTCGTGATAGGTTTGCACTGCAACTTACAATGAATTCCTGGGCACATGTGTGCACGCGTGTGTATCTAGTTACAGGGAGGAGCATGACAACCACCGTGTGCGAAGTAGAATGCGTGGGCCCACTGAAGTGACATCCTCAAAAAACCACCTGAGCTAAATGGCGGGTTAAAGGGGAACCACTCAAAAAGCACCCACTTTACGAGTAGGAAGGCACGCAAACGCAACAACAGGCTCGAATTGACTCCTGTGGTCGTGCCCTGCTCCCTGAGTAATTCAGGCGATGCGGCTCTTCTGAGCAATACCCCAAAACCGGCTTGTCAAATGGGCTTACCTGCTGGGTTTCGGGGACGAAACCAGGAAACCCGACTAGAGCACACTGGCTCTCAGTACAGACATAACGAGTGCCGGTTCACAACAAACTATTCACTTCTTTCCTCGTGAAGAGCCGCAGAGCGCCAACCACACCGATGAAATCGGTCTTGGGAAGAGCAGGTGAGTTGCCGGTCTATTCCCCCTCCAGAGTTTAAAGCCGTTTGGTACCAAGGGATGCGGTTCAGTCAAAAACACAACTGTTCTCAGGTAAAACATGGTAAATACGGACCGCTCACATGCAATGCAGTGCCAAGCTGGCAAGTCAGCACCATGCAAGACTAAACATGTGGCAACGCCCGCGCGCCAAGCACCAACATAATATACATCAAGTCCTCGCGAAGGTGCTCCCTTAAACACATCAGTGCCCTTGCGCTAGGCGATTCCTTTGCAGTAATTCTTCCTCAGCACTCCAGTGCTAGAAGAGCATTAGCCTGACAGCTGGCCATCGCAAGTCACAAGCGCCATTCCATTGAGCCATATATGTGCCTTGGTCAACTCTTGTGTGGACCTTCATAACCCCCCATACAATTGCTCTACCAACCCAGCTCAAAATCTTCATAGCCCATCCTTATTTGTTTCGACCACGTCCAATCTTCATCACAATCACAACTGACATGAAAATGGGTGAGTAAACGCATTCCCGCATTCCCGCCCGGGGACGAGATGGGCATGCCCTGCACAACGACAAAGGCGGATGATCGATCGTGGCTCGACTGCAAGCCGTGGCCTCAACCAACTCTCATCTCGGGTCCGGGTTCTCGCATGAACACAGCAGCGTCAAGCGGGGGCCCACAAACTCCTGACAGCAAGCCAGCCAATTTCAGGGCAAGCAAGCACACAAAGCACACAACCGTCCTCGCCGTCGGAGTCGCTGTATGCAGCCTCAAGTCCCAATCGAACAGCGCTCCGAATCCGTTTTTCAAACTTGCGAAGACGCCTGCCATGGAAAGTATAGGCGGCGCTATCCAAGTGAGCTAATAGATGCCAATAGCGTATGGTAACAAAAACTCGTGCTGAAGGTCCAACCCCAATTCCAGGCCTTGCCTGGTCCTACCATTGCCAATGGGGTTCCTTGCTGTTTCAGCTTTCGCATTCATCTTCAGCCACACTGGGCCTTCCATACCTGGGTCTTGAAATCTCTGGAACCTCCTGGACCTCACAAATCTGGATTCATCTGGGGAACCTTGAAAGGCACTAGGGATCCTGACTTAGGACCACCTGTTTGCGCCAGAGCAAAGAAATGCGAATCGCATTGATGTCTTCCGAGTGAGCGCTTGCTGACAAGAATCCTCGCTCGCCAGAGAACCATCTTTCGAATGGTTCACACATTCGCCCCGAGACGAAAATTCCAAGTGCCCCGAGCTAAGGCTGCGACGGTGGAGACGATGTCTTGCAAGACGGGCATGCCAAGACCTGTCACCAGCCATGGCGCTTGGCTTTGGAGGCTTGAGCAACACATCGCAAGACTCATATTCGTATTACATGATGCACATTTTGCACATCCTAGAAGGAAAACAGCTACATCAAAGGGAAGCATCCTATCATCCTCAACACAACTATCTCATCATTTTGTGGGGGAAATGAATCAGAGAAGCCACCCCTTTGGATGGCATAATGGTGCATGCTGTCGGAGGCTTCCCCGTCCACAACATCGTGAGATGAATGAGACCAGCCGCCACCAAAGACAATGAGACCAGCTGCTAAATGGTATTCTTGTGAAACAGGGGAACTGCCAGGCAGGGTCCAACCCCAACTCTCCTGTGTCATTCCCCAGCTGACTCGGAACAGGGCTCCTTGCTAGCGACTTAGTCAAACTTGCGCAGGGAAACGTTCCATGGAGATCTTGCACAGCAAAACGTGCAGAAAGAAGTGACCACTCGCGGAGAGAACTTGCACATGTGGAGCTTGCAAAGAAAGCTTGCGCAGACCAATTCGCTGAGAAACACAGAGAAACTTGCACATTGGGCAAAGAAACTCGCAGAAGAGCCTGGAGCAGAGAAAAAACCTCACCACGATCATGCCGCGTCATGTCTTTGCGGTGGCGCGGATGCTCTTGTCTTAGACTTGGTATCTGGTATATGCGTTCGGGCCACTCGTCGTCTAATTCTTCGTCTTCTCGTGTTTATTCTTGTTATTTCATCTTTATCAGTTTCTTTGCATATTTATTTATGTGTCGCTTTTTGTCTGTTCTTTCTTGCTGTCTTTCTTTTATTCACTGTTTGTTTCTGGTTGTTGGCGTTGAGATTCGAAATCCTCTCAACTGACCGCCAAAATGATTATACCCACTGTATAAGGCACTATAAAACGTGTAAGTGGAGCATGCATGAGGGGCACAGCGTCACTTCAAGATTAACACTTTTGGATCTCCCACACTCGTCTTTGTGTTGAACCTCTTTTGGGCGGTTTGAATCAAGACCAAAGGGACACTTCCAAATTGGAGGTTACCCTTGGAGACAAACCTAGACATCTGTCCGTCGGATTTCGCATTGCGTGCCTTTAGGCTCCAGCAGGGAAAACTCTGCCTCGCGCCGGCTCGCTCGAACCCGGTTTCCATGTTGACCCAGCTCTAGGGTTCAATCCAAAAGAATGGCCCATGGCAAGGACCCAATTCAAATGATGCACCCCGATGATTTGAATGGTTTGAATCCAAGGGCCGTGATTGATTTCCTAAGTCCTTCAATATTTTCCTAAGAACCTTGTCAATAAACCTCTGGTTGGGGGGTGTCCCTTTTCACGCGGATTCGGACCCCTTTTGAGGGAATCACACCCTAGTCATCTGCCCGGTTTATTGATTCGGGGTTTCGACTTTGCTGATTTTTAAAGCCCCAGCAAGGGAAGCCGTGGGAAGTTCGGGGCCAGAATCGTCCAACTAGGTATAGCGGGTTAACAAGGCTATACATGGTATGAGTAAGGGAAAAGGCCCACGAATGGACACCTCTTGTCAAACACTGCGGCATCCTGTTGAAACCGTTTCATATTGTTTCCCACCTCCCAACAAGAAACGCACGCCAGGCTCCAGCCCTGGCGCTGATGTGTTGCCACAGACCTGTGCCACACTCAAAACCTGGACCCCAACAGGGATCCTTACGCTATACACCTGAACATTGCCTTGTAAATGGTGGTGTCTCTGTATTTTGGTGAACAAAAACCATGTTTCAAATGGGCAAAAGGTATCTTTTAAGGAGCCCTGCCCAAACCTATAAGAATCAGAGTGGATTCCCGCACCTATTTCTGGTTCGAGCAGTCCGCTTCACGTACCCGAAACGGTTTTGATGGCTCAGGGTCATTCGATTGCTTTTTGGGGCGCCCGGGGCGGCGACGGACACAGACAGGAGGGTTTTAGACGTTTGGGGAAGCCGCCAGTCCACTTCCATGGGTCGCAAGCAGCAGCTGGCTCCTTGAGATGTGATTAATGAATGCAGCAGTCATTGATCATGAGACTCCCTTTGTTGTGATTGGATTTCTTTCTGCAAGGGGACCGTTATGCCTGATTAACGGCGAGGGCCGTCGAGGGTCTAGTAACCAGGGGCCAACATCAGGTCCACTAAGGAGACTTGCTTCAACATTTGCCGAAAATGAGGTTAACCACCCTTTGATTGGGCTGTTCAAAAAAAGGTCAACATGGAGTATTGACCAATGCCAATCAAGAATCCCTAAGCACTACAAAGGGGACCCCTTTCGCAACCCCGGGATAAGCCTACAGAATAGTATTTGGACAGCCCAGTTGAAGGGACAATATGAGGGCCTCTCATTGACGCCCGACGCAATCAACCAACACATCGGTCGGCCTGCCTCGAAGGGGTTCGATGACCAACTCCTGGGCTCACGAAAAAACCTGGTGCAAACACAACTTAGCCCTCAAGTGCTTCACGACTCTGGAGGAAGACACTGAGCTTCACTCTCGAGTGCCCAGCAGGGAAGGGCCCAAACCTCTAAGCATCATCCCAAGGCCCCCAAATCAGTT